CACACACACACACTATACAACCCACACACACACTCATGCACACCGATCTCACTCTCAAACCAGCACACACACAGAACGTACAATCAGCATACACACACACTCTGAACAACCGACACATACACACACACAATCTTTACACCCATCACAAAAGTACATACTCTATACAACCAGCTCACACGCACACACTTCGTGGATAAGGGCTCTCACACATTTAAAAACCAGCACAAATACACACACACACACACACCCACACACACACACACACCTTGTGTGTTTACAACTAGCACACAAACACCGTACAAGAAGTTGGGCTACGGACTCTACAACAAAAATACACACACTCTTTACATGCCATCCCAAACACAAAGTCTGCCAGCAACTCGCACATACACATACACACGCACACACACTCCCCCCCCCCCACACACTCACATACACTCTGTACAACCTGCACAAACTCAAAATATACAAGTGGCTCGCACAGAAATGTTGTACAACTAGCACACACCCACACACTCTGTACAACCCGCAAACATATACACTCTGTAGAAATCACAAACACACGCACACCCACACACACACGTACGGAGTACAACAAGCACACTCATCACTTACATGTATGGTGCTGGCTGATAGCCCTAGCTCTTCGATGCATGCGTGAATGTGCTGCATACTATCTGCATGGCATTCCACATATCCCTGCCAAATTGCTGCCCCTCTTCCTGATTGGTCCCCCACATGCAGGTCCACTGTATCATACGTCTTTGTTAGCACGCTCGAACGAACACGGTCCGCCTGTGGTAGTATAAACCAGTCAAAACATGTTCACATTTCAAATTGTTTAGTCAAAGGCTAGGACAACCCGTGCAAGTGTAAGCGTAAGAACCATGCTAAAAAAATACAGACAACTGTGTTCGACCCTCACCTTCATTACTGCCGTCTCGTAGGTTGACGATCCACCAATAGCTGATTCTCGTTGGCTGAGCATGTTCCTCAGTTGGACACTCCGCAAAATAGCTTCATCGTACTGGCGGAAGTTTGATGCACGGAATGGCTGCTTGCATGTCGTGGTGTGTGCATGCTCATACAAGCCCGTGCAGTACTCATTAGGAGCCCCTCCACGTCGAATGGAATCTGGAAAATGCGTTAGCAAATGGATTTTCGGCAACTGCCATCCGTCTCCTGTGCGCTGTAGATGTGTGTGTAAGAGCGCAACCAATCTGGAGGGATGGCAGTGGGTTTTGGTACAAAATATACCACATCATGGATATGGTTCAGCACACAAATTCCGTACATGTCCTCAGCCATAAACAAGCATGCTTGATACGTACTCGGCGGTCTCCTTGACGTAAGCCGCCAACTTCGGTTCTGTGAATGTTGATGCGCAAAAATACGTGTCGAACCATTTCACGAAGAAACGCAGCACACACATGTGTGCGTCCGTAATGAGGCCCTCGAGTATTACCACAGAAACCTGCATCACGACGGAAGGGTGGTTTGAAATGTGCACAAACAAAGAAGCAAAGAGGTGTGGGAGGGTTCAGGATAACGTGCGATGTTAACGAGGTGTAAACTCTCTCTACCACAAGCGAGCACACACACACACTCTTCATGCATCATGCACGCACGCTCTAAATAACCAGCGTACATGCAGAATCAATACAACCAGCATACACAAACACTCCGTAAAACCAGCACATACACACACTAGCTCTGACCAGCATGCACAGACACTATACAACCACTTCACAAACAATGTTAGAACAACCTCCAGATACACACACAACCCAGCATACACATATATACTCTGTACAGCCAGCACCAACATACATACACTGTGCAACCGCCACACACTCCGGATTTGAACAACTATTACACAAACACACGCTGCACAACAAGCACATACCCGCATGAAATTAGAGTGCCTAAAAACATACTCGATACCACCAGCGCCCACACACATACTATATAACCAGGATACCCACACAGTCTCACTCACTTTGTATAACCAGCATGCACACACTCATTACAACACGCTCGCATGCAAACTCTGTACCTTTGGCGCAAATGAACTCAAGGCAACGAGCACATACACACAGTTCATACAACCTGCAGAGACACACATTCACTGCCAGTACACACACTCTACACAAGAAGCAGAAACCCACACTCATTACCCCCAGTACACACACTCTATATACCCAGCGGAGACACATAGTCAATACTACCAACACACACACTATACACAACCAGCAGAGACACACACTCAAAACCCCCATTACACACACTATACACAACTAGCAGAGACACACACTCAGTACCAACAGTCCACACACTCTCCGTACCACCAGCACAAGTATTCACCTTAAACAACCAACTTAGACTCACACTGTATACGTCCACCACACTCAAACACTCTGGCCATTCAGCACCTAGACCCACACTCTTTCCCTCCTAGCTTACCCTCATCATTGCAGCATGTTCTGCAGCAGAGAAGTTGGCCCCCAAACTGAAATATCCACCGGGTGGCGGTATTTTCGATCCGGCGAGCAATATGGCGCGATACATCTCGAAGTGCAGCCTGGTTTGTGTACAAAGACAAAAGATTACCACACACCCCGTTAATGCCACAGTTGCTGGGTGTACGTCGTCAACAACCGAAACCTCACCCACGTTTCAATCACAACAGAAGCGTTTGTTCAGAGCTTGTTACGCATTTCCCGATAAGAACCATTACAGTTTAGGGTGTGTACCAGTACATACTACGACGTACAGCCATCACATTTACACACACGGCACAAACACCACACACGCCCTCCATCAAACCGACACACAAACACTCTGTACCACCAACACGCGCACGCCCTCTGCACACGTAGCACATATACACACTCAGTATGGCCCGCCATGACAAATGCACTTACTCGTTTGCCTTCTGTCCACATCTATTCGCGATGACGATAGCCTCCAGTATGTAGACCCATATGCCAATCAATATGACGTGCAAAATGTTGGGCATAAAGATTCGATAAGGGTTTCCCCATGGTTCCGCTCGATCCTCCCTTTTACCGAACGTCCAGAGAAAGCACTGCACACATGTAAAAAAAACACAAGGGGCGTTCATGTGGCGTGAAATCCGACCACACACCAATGTTCTAAATCATGCACATGTGTTTGTGGCCACCTCACCTTGGTCATGTGAGTTGAGTACTCCTTGGCGAGCACCTTGTCGTTGGCATACTTGCGTTGTTGCTCGACCGTGCGATACTTGGCAGCACATGTCGGGTCCATGCTGTCCAAGTCAATGTCCTGCACCTCACAAATTGAGCAGGGTTTCTTGGCTCCGGTCTGCTTGGTGCACGACACTCTGCAAGTCTCTGGAAAATCAGCGACGTATGAAAACAGCTTGGGCCATACAGTATAGACCTCCCCATATGGGTCCGTCAATGGAATTGACCTGCACGCAAACAGTTCATATCGCGATACAGCATTAGGCAAGGTTCACTGACGAGCTAAAGCGAGAACCACAGTACTTCTTACGTCTTGCATGCCTGGTCGAGCGCCTTCAGCACAGTCTCGCAGCATCTCTGGAACAATATGGTTTTCTGTGTCGATGACATGTCTGCGTCTGGAAGTGGAAGCAGTGCTATGAGTGCATGTCCGTGCTCGCTCCACCGAACGCTGAGGGGAAGATTGCCGAACGAAAGGTACAACGGCCAGGCGCGGCAACGCCCATTTCCACTGAGGTGAGTCTCATCGCTTGAGAGAATTATCGGGCACACGCATTCCTTTGGCCCAAGTCCACCCTGTCCAATAAAACGGAATAGGAAGTTACAATACACAATTGATCCAGCGAAAAAAACCGAAAAACACTACAGACATTGTTGTGAACAAAAGAAAAGTTCAAATATGTTCAATGCATTGTAGAGCATAATGTTAGCGACGTATATGCGCAAATCACCTGTGACTCAATCCAAAAATCTGCTGTTTCTACTCCGGCATAGACCCGTATTTCGTTCACATATTTCTTTAGGGCTTTGTGAATGAACCCGTTCTTATTTCTTGGATCTGCCCACATCCGTCGTAAGGCCTGTACATGAAAAACATAACAAGTTGAAGTAAATACACACTTTATTACAATATCTCGGACAACAAACTAAGCTATAGCTTTCCATACCTCGATAGGATCCAAATATTTGACTGTGAAGGTCCGGTGCCATCCAGGCACACGTACGGCAGCAGTCTTAAACTGTGTCTGCTCAATGCCAAACTCCTCTTCCGCGTACTTATCTACAGAGTGCTGTCCACTCCATTTGTCCAACTGCGCACGGTCAAAATCTGGATGCTTCACGAGCCGGAAAAACCGTGCCACATCAGGTCCACTCATCCCGCTACCCCTATTACAGAGGGAGAGAAACCTGAACGTTTCAAAACGCGTGTCAAACACAGTCTCAGGTTCTGTCTCCTCATGAGCGAAATAGGCGTCAGCATCGACAAACACAATCTCCTCCTCCTGTTGGCCCCCACCTTCGTCATCGCTATCATCTACCACATCCACCCCTTCCATCGGTGGCAGTAATGGAGATTCCACTCGAACATAAGGTACGTGCTCCTCCGCCAGAATCCCCCGACCAGCACCAAAATTCCGAGTGGTGGGCAAAAACAGCGCATCGTCAGCAGACGTGTTGCGGTGCTTCCGCTCGTGGCTGACAAGTGCTCTGTAGGTGCTAAGCCGTTTTGGGCAACCTGGGCACTTGAACGGGCGATCACCAGCCACATCTGCGATATTTGGAAAGTGAAATATATTATAGAAAAGAATGAGTGTTGGGACATAATGACGGGTTTCAGATGAAGGGATATAATGCACAGACACCTCCGCCTGCCCCTCCCTCCTCCTCTCTGCACTTCCTGTCCATGGCAGGGAGACAAGGGCGGCGTGAGAGCAGAGAGAGGGCTGGGTGAGTGTAGTGGGGTTGAATTCAACCCCACCGAGGAGCAGAATGGAGGCACACACACGCCTCTGCCTCTCCCTCCCTCCTCCTCTCTGCACTTCCTGTCCATGGCAGGGAGACAAGGGCGGCGTGAGAGCAGAGAGAGGGCTGGGTGAGTGTAGTGGGGTTGAATTAAACCCCACTGAGGAGCAGAAAGGAGGCACACACACGCCTCTGCCTCTCCCTCCCTCCTCCTCTCTGCACTTCCTGTCCATGGCAGGGAGACAAGGGCGGCGTGAGAGCAGAGAGAGGGCTGGGTGAGTGTAGTGGGGTTGAATTCAACCCCACTGAGGAGCAGAATGGAGGCACACACACGCCTCTGCCTCTCCCTCCCTCCTCCTCTCTGCACTTCCTGTCCATGGCAGGGAGACAAGGGCGGCGTGAGAGCAGAGAGAGGGCTGGGTGAGTCTTGTGGGGTTGAATTCAACCCCACTGAGGAGCAGAATGGAGGCACACACACGCCTCTGCCTCTCCCTCCCTCCTCCTCTCTGCACTTCCTGTCCATGGCAGGGAGACAAGGGCGGCGTGAGTGCAGAGAGAGGGCTGGGTGAGTGTAGTGGGGTTGAATTCAACCCCACTGAGGAGCAGAATGGAGGCACACACACGCCGCTGCCTCTCCCTCCCTCCTCCTCTCTGCACTTCCTGTCCATGGCAGGGAGACAAGGGCGGCGTGAGTGCAGAGAGAGGGCTGGGTGAGTCTTGTGGGGTTGAATTCAACCCCACTGAGGAGCAGAATGGAGGCACACACACGCCTCTGCCTCTCCCTCCCTCCTCCTCTCTGCACTTCCTGTCCATGGCAGGGAGACAAGGGCGGCGTGAGAGCAGAGAGAGGGCTGGGTGAGTGTAGTGGGGTTGAATTCAACCCCACTGAGGAGCAGAATGGAGGCACACACACGCCTCTGCCTCTCCCTCCCTCCTCCTCTCTGCACTTCCTGTCCATGGCAGGGAGACAAGGGCGGCGTGAGAGCAGAGAGAGGGCTGGGTGAGTCTTGTGGGGTTGAATTCAACCCCACTGAGGAGCAGAATGGAGGCACACACACGCCTCTGCCTCTCCCTCCCTCCTCCTCTCTGCACTTCCTGTCCATGGCAGGGAGACAAGGGCGGCGTGAGTGCAGAGAGAGGGCTGGGTGAGTGTAGTGGGGTTGAATTCAACCCCACTGAGGAGCAGAATGGAGGCACACACACGCCGCTGCCTCTCCCTCCCTCCTCCTCTCTGCACTTCCTGTCCATGGCAGGGAGACAAGGGCGGCGTGAGTGCAGAGAGAGGGCTGGGTGAGTCTTGTGGGGTTGAATTCAACCCCACTGAGGAGCAGAATGGAGGCACACACACGCCTCTGCCTCTCCCTCCCTCCTCCTCTCTGCACTTCCTGTCCATGGCAGTGAGACAAGGGCGGCGTGAGAGCAGAGAGAGGGCTGGGTGAGTGTAGTGGGGTTGAATTCAACCCCACTGAGGAGCAGAATGGAGGCACACACACGCCGCTGCCTCTCCCTCCCTCCTCCTCTCTGCACTTCCTGTCCATGGCAGGGAGACAAGGGCGGCGTGAGTGCAGAGAGAGGGCTGGGTGAGTCTTGTGGGGTTGAATTCAACCCCACTGAGGAGCAGAATGGAGGCACACACACGCCTCTGCCTCTCCCTCCCTCCTCCTCTCTGCACTTCCTGTCCATGGCAGTGAGACAAGGGCGGCGTGAGAGCAGAGAGAGGGCTGGGTGAGTGTAGTGGGGTTGCAAGCCATGATTGCAAGCCAACTGTACGATCGTTTACCAGCGCGAATGAAGTACCTGTGTCTGACTCTTCAGCAATTGTGTTGTCGTTGTCTAACCCTTCACTCTCAGCGGGCCGTTCAAAGTCGGCCCAGTTGTCCATGTAGACAGTACGTTACACGGCGGCTCTGTTTGTGATATGAAAGGGCAAAAAGGCAGAATCCGTGGAGGTGTGTGCGGTACATGTGCACAGTCCCACACACACACGCATACAGAGACACACACAGGATCCCACAAGCACACACACGCAAACAGTTTCCGCTCACACGCACACACATGCACACAAACACATGGACACGCACACACACACACTCCCACACACACACATACGCACGAACACAATGCTCTTATTTTTTTAACAGACTAATTTGAGGGCAGGAAGAGAGGTGTGGGGGGGGGGTGGGAGGAAGGGCGGGTGGTTTTGGACGAGGGGATTGTTCGACCATTGCGCAGATGACGTAGAAAGGCGTGGAAGCAGGATGCATGAATCACAGCATTCTGGTAGCGTCCCAAGACAAAGAACGGGGGAAAGTCGCGAAGAGGCTATAGAGTGGATGCGCAAATAAAAAAAATAAGCATCTCGCATTCCTTTTCCCATGGACACTCCCAAGTCCCCTCTCTTCCCCTCTAATCCGACTTCCACTCATCGCTAATACTCACACTGCGACACACTAGGCAGCACACGCGGGCGCAGAGGTTCGGCGAAGCGTGAGGAGGGGCGTTGATGAGGTGAAATCCGCGGATTGGAGAAGTGCTGTACCGAAACTCAGTGCGGCTCCGTATCCGCACAATTGTTGGGTGGATGAGCGGCACACGGCGCTAGCGATGGCGCGGCGAGACCCACGAGATGCTTCAACGTGAGAGCGAATCCCAAGGCGGCCATGCGATGGGGAGTAGACACAGGCAGTGGGAATTCCATGGCAAATAAACGAGAGTAGGCAGTTGAAAAATCAGAACGGGGGGGGGGGGAGATGACCGGCACAAGCGGGAGCATACGTGGCAACGGAGGTGAGTAGAAGGGTGGGTGTTGGCGGAGACGCCACGGGATTCACGGAGGGGAGAAGTGGTGGTCCGAATCCCCAGGCTGGTCCTGAGATCGGGGGGCAAATATCTGAAGTAGCAACACCAAATGAGTTATAGGAGATGTGAGAGCAACACACGATCTCAAATATGAGATGGAGCGCGAATCCAGAACAGTGAAGAGAGAGAGAGAGAGAGAGAGAGAGAGTGAGAGAGAGAGAGAGAGAGAGAGAGAGAGAGAGAGAGAGAGAGAGAGAGAGATAGACCGTGAAAGAGAGAGGTATCGATCGTGAGAGAGAGAGATCGATCGACCGTGAGAGAGAGATCGAGCGAGAGAGAGAGAGGGATTTCGACCGTGAGAGAGAGAGAGAGAGATCGACCGTGAGAGAGAGAGATCTCGACCGTGAGAGAGAGAGATCTCGACCGAGAGAGAGAGAGAGAGATATCAAGTGTGAGAGAGAGAGAGATCTCGACCGAGAGAGAGAGAGATTTCGACAATGAGAGATAGAGAGAGAGATCGACCGTGAAAGAGAGAGATGTCGACCGTGAGAGAGATAGAGAGAGAGAGAGAGAGAGAGAGAGAGAGAGAGAGAGAGAGAGAGAGAGAGAGATCGACCCTTTCCCTGAGAGAGATAACAACCGTGAGAGAGAGAGAGAGATCCGAGAGAGAGAGAGAGAGAGATTTCGACAGAGTGAGAGAGGGAGAGAGAGATCGACCGTGAAAGAGAGAGATTTCGACCGTGAGAGAAAGAGAGAGATTTCGACCATGAGAGAGAGACAGAGAGATCGACCGTGAGAGAGAGAGAGGGATTTCGACCGTGAGATTGAGAGATTCCGACTGTGAGATAGAGAGCTTTTGACCGTGAGATAGAGGTGTAGACCGTGAGAGAGAGAGATCTCGACCGTGAGAGAGAGAGATCTCGACCGAGAGAGAGATAGAGATATCAATTGTGAGAGAGAGAGATCTCGACCGAGAGAGAGAGAGATTTCGACAATGAGAGATAGAGAGAGAGAGATCGACCGTGAAAGAGAGAGATTTCGACCGTGAGAGAAAGAGAGAGATTTCGACCATGAGAGAGAGACAGAGAGATCGACCGTGAGAGAGAGAGAGGGATTTCGACCGTGAGATAGAGAGATTCCGACTGTGAGATAGAGAGCTTTCGACCGTGAGATAGAGGTGTAGACCGTGAGAGAGAGAGATCTCGACCGTGAGAGAGAGAGATCTCGACCGAGAGAGAGAGAGAGATATCAATTGTGAGAGAGAGAGATCTCGACCGAGAGAGAGAGAGATTTCGACAATGAGAGATAGAGAGAGAGAGATCGACCGTGAAAGAGAGAGATGTCGACCGTGAGAGAGAGGGAGAGAGAGAGAGAGAGAGAGAGAGAGAGAGAGAGAGAGAGAGAGAGAGAGATCGACCCTTTCCCTGAGAGAGATAACAACCGTGAGAGAGAGAGAGAGATCCGAGAGAGAGAGAGATAGAGATTTCGACAGAGTGAGAGAGGGAGAGAGAGATCGACCGTGAAAGAGAGAGATTTCGACCGTGAGAGAGAGAGAGAGAGAGATTTCGACCATGAGAGAGAGACAGAGAGATCGACCGTGAGAGAGAGAGAGGGATTTCGACCGTGAGATTGAGAGATTCCGACTGTGAGATAGAGAGCTTTCGACCGTGAGATAGAGGTGTAGACCGTGAGAGATAGGATTCGTGCGTGAGGGAGAGATGTCGACCGGGAGACTGAGATGCCGACCGGGAGAATGAAATCTGGACCGTGAGATTGAGATTGCTACCGTGATAATTTGAGATATCGACCGTGAGAAATATATCTCGACCGCGAGAATGAGACCCCGACCCCGAAGATGATATCGCGACTGATTAATCTCAATAACATTCAGAAGGTGTGTGTGAGCGAGATCTCTACCGAGTGATACGCATCTGCTCGAGGAGATTTAGTAGACATCCCAATCATGGAATTCTACTACGAAAAGGAAGTCACAAGCACGGGCCGCTAGATACAGAACTCCTAACGGTGGCGGTGACTAAGGGTGCGGCACTGAGTCAGCTTTGAACAAGAGATGATACGAGCCACGATAGTTCGGGGACCGCTTGGCAAACGAGCTGAGATGGATGTGTAGAGTTGCTTCTAGAGAAACATACGCGGAATAGCAGTGATAGGCGACTCACAGCTTTGCTGTTGTTGAACGAGTCAGGCAGCTGAAGGGCCCGCCATTAGCTAAGGAGAAAGGGTAGGCGGGTGGCTTACCTAAGACGTGAAGTATGTCGAGCAAGATTGGGAAGAGAATGTTTGTAGTGTGGAATGTTTTTACTCGAATTGGAGTTCACGCCTACATCTCATGCTAAAGGAAGGCCCAGCTAATTCCAGGAAAATACAATGGCATTAAAGGCAATTCATGCCCACCTAAATGCTGCAGCACTCCTGTCCATGCACAACATCAGTTATGCTGTCAAGTGCTGCAGTTGAACAGTGATGACTGTGGGAGGTATCATTAGTTGCCCATTGTTGATATTATGGATGGATGCATGTGCCCCTCACATGATGGAAGTGACCACTAGTGGACAGGAATTTGCTTAGCTGGGCATCACGTAACAGTGATTTTGTTTGGATGCAGCCATGAAGACCCCATATGACATGTGAGGATTGATCATATAAAGCACAAGTTGCATCAAATTCCATGGTCAAGTGGTGTTGGGGTGGATTGTTGGCATGCATTTTGTGAGAACTAGAGCCACCAAGTCAGCTGGAGATGGTGCATATGAGATGAGTGGCTCAGGTAGACTCAGATTGTTTGTTATGAGACAATTCCATCCAGCCTAACCCCTAAGGAACAAAGTGGAACATGCCACACTCTATATAAGAGTCCAGCGGAGACAAGATGCTAGATGCTCTAACACTATGGCCTGGTTAGCTCATGCTGCATGTGTTTGCCATGTTTGTGAAAAAAACTTGTATTTTCACCGCGGCATTGTCTTTCAAGCTATGTTATTGATTGCAGAAGGAGGCGACAACCTCGTCACGTTATCAGTAGGGGCCAAACGGATCCACAGTTTTTGCGAGAGCTTCTATCAAAGTCGCCGGAAATTAGGACACCATATCCCTTTCCATGCGCAACCCACTTGTGGGGTGAGATGAAGTTATTACGCATGGTCTTTTATTATTACGCTTTGTTACAATTTGGCTTTGCGGCGATACATGCGGCGAATGTTGGAATTCTAGTGCTGGTATCTCTCATAACAACCCTTGATTGCCTTACAAACATTATTGGAAATTATAACTCTATGATTGTTCATCGTCGTTGCATAACTGTACATTTTACTAGCATCTCTGCCGAGTCGATGCTCAAAGGACCCTTTCTCTGATGTGTCAAGTGGGTACAATCGCAAGACTATTCGTGCGAGTAAATACGCGAAATAACACATGCCTCATATGGTGAACGTAAAATAGTCCCACACTCAAATGGACTCGGACGACTTCCAAGTTGGTGTGCTGGGTGTGCAGCCTACAGCCGTCTGGCCCGTCGCCAGATGGGTCCTCGAATATGCCCCCCTTACTCACCGACTGCTTCAAGCATGATGACGCAGACATAAATGAAGTCGAACTCCCTCCTCCTACTGTGCCCCGACCGGTGACTTTGTTGCCATCGCCTTCACCGCCCGTCATCGACGTTTCATGGAACGGATCCTCATAGGCCGCCGGCGATGAGGGGATCCTTGGTGCGTCACCTACAGCCCGACCGGAGCGGAAATAACTTCCTCAACGCGAGCTAGACTGCGGGCTAGGCACGGGTGCTCATGTGATCTCTGCGTTCCAATGTCGTTCCATTGGGCGCACACGAGTTGCCAGTTTCTTTGTGAAATTTTGCCAGTGTATGACTAAGGAAAGCTGACAACAATTGTAGCAACAAACTTGGCAACAATGATTACATCAGAGCTAGCAAGCAAGTCGGTCGACCTCCAGCGCAGCACGGTCGACCTCGATCCAGCGAAGCATAGCACGCACCTGTCCAGCCCTGAAGAGAAGCGGCTTGCCCACATTGCAAGTCCACGGTGTGCCAACGTTGAAGCAAGTCTGCTGCACCCGCATGACAACGGTGCACCTGACTCGCAGCTGCGCGCAGCTGGGGGGTGCTCCACGTAGGTCGCCCGCGAGAAGTCCCACCTGGTCGTGATAGCTGTGACTTCACCAGCAACTTCAGGCGACAAGCTGCGTAGAGTGCCGAAAATGCCAGTCGCCGTCGACACATACGCCGAGCTCAAGCTACACGACGAAGGAGTACAGTCGCGCAGAGTACTGGTAGAAGGTCAGCTTGCTGCAGTTCGCGTCCACCTCGATAAGATCTCGACCTTGCCTTCGCTTGCAGCTTGCTCAATTCTAGGCCTGACAGTGCAGAGCGACAACAACTAGCGTGAGCTCGATCGTTGACTGCTCTACCTCCACATGACAAATTTCGCAACCGCCAGACTTCCGTAGAGTAGTTTGACGAATGCTCCGTCGAGCAGCTTTCGCTTGGTCGACCGCCCGCACGGCTTGGTCGACCGCCAGCACAGCTTGGTCGACCGCCTGCCAGCGTTGCGTAGAGGAGCCGCGCCATCACTACAGAAAGGCGACCTGCCAACAGAGCAGGTCGACGGCGTGCCAACGCTGCAGCAGAGCTGCTGTCCAGCGTTGCCCCGTAGAAGACAGCAGTCCGCATGCTCGCTGATGCGCCCCGACGAAAGGGCCGACTTGCATTGCTGTGCATCCGTCTGCTGTTGTCTGCGACTGTCGAGCAGGTTACCTGGTCAACCAGGACACCACCAGGTGCTCTGCTCGTCGATCAGGTGTCGTGGTCGACCACCAGGTGCTCTGGTCGACCACAGCACCGGTCTAGCAACACCCCGGTCGACGTACCCCTTCCGTTGACCAGAAGTGTCAGCTGTTGGGGCCGAGCTCCCATCGTCGACTGCCACGTACTTGTCAGGTCGACAGACTGCTCCGTCGGCTTCCACGTACTTGCCACGTTTCGCATTCATTTGTATTCCTAAATAAATGAAAGTGTGAGCTTATTTCTATCAACTGTGTCCATATAGATTCACTCTGATCTAAGGTTACAACCTTCCGTTGCAATACTATGATCTTGCGAACCTTGCTGACGTGATCATAGGCATGATCCACCTTCTGATCGCAACACCTTGTTGAAAGTCTACTGGAACATGCCATCACAACCCTGCAGCTGTACATCTGTACAAATGCTTTGTGTAAACGCATATAAGTAGACTGAATCCATTCATAGTGGACGTAACCTTTATGCCCTGACGACAATGCGATTCGCGGGTGTGCCATGCACTGCTGTTGTGGATTCACCTTGAACAGCAGCCTATCAAGGCTGAAATTATGTTTTCAAACGAACTATACATGGCGATCACACGATATCGTGACATATTACACCATGACACGGTGTCTTGTTTTTAATTTACCCTTGGACACTCCAAAACCCTAATTGCACTGGGAGTACTAAACTGCCAACGGTTTTAATTGTGCGCAAGAACCTGCAACAGTATATGATAGTTCAAGTGTCTAACAAAAACCAAGGCTGTATGGTTTTTTGCAACTCACTCAAAGATCTCACACTGCAACCTTGTAACGGGGCGCATTTCCTCATCTGGTTTGCGCTCCATACCCATCTCGACCTGCCAAAAACGTTTGTTCCCGCTGAAAAACGTGAACAATCTAATTTAGCCGCATCCAAACGAACTAGACGGGCGCGCCCTTAGGGAGGTCACGTAACTTCGATCTGACACGGCGATGTGCTGTCAAAGCGCCCCACACGTCGACCGTGAGATAAAGTCTGCAGCTTGGACGGTGCTGCGCAACTGGCGCGACCATCCCATCCCATCCCGTTCGACCATCCCATCCACCCACCCCTCCTCTTTCTCCCATCAACAAACACCTTTCTCCTTGTGGTACTTTCGCCATTCCTTGCTTTCTAATCAAACTCGGAAAATTAGTAGCCTCCTTCTGAGCTTCTACGTGCCAGGGTTTCTAGGCTATTCATCTGGTACCTTAGGTGAGATTATGGCATATTAGTTTAGTTCTTACCAGATATCCTTACGGCCAATCAACCGATTCTCTGCCAATTCCTGAGTTTCACAATGCAGCCCGTGCCAAGTCCCTTCGTAGCTGCAGTTCTTCCTAGAAGAGCCGCTGAAGTTACCTCAAACCCTGCTGTGGGTACCTTTGGCTCTCCGGAAGCCGTCGCGATGCACAGCAATGGGCGAGCCCAAGACGAGCCCGAGGACGACGTGTTTGCTGAAGGTACGTCTCACTCCTCGTAGCCATTCGTATGAACAACTGACCTGCGCACTGTCGGATCAGACGACTTAATCTACAAAATGTACTTATTGCTATTTCTGTTTGTTTTATAACCCTTTGCCACAGGCTCGAAATTCGTGTCGCTGAACAATGTGTCGATCACGGGTGGTACTAAGCGCCAGACACGTGCGAGGAAACCTAAAGAAGTGCGGAAGGGGAAGCGTTATACTTTGGTCCGCACGGGCAAGAAAGGCTGCGCTGATGCACTTGGTGATGGCGGTTGTGGAGCAGACACATACACTCAAGGCAATGGTCAACATGCACATAACGCCTCATTTCCAGCTGCAGCCGCCACTATCACTCCCTCCTCCGCCTATGTCAACGCAGCGGCGACTCATCAGCTCGTCGCCTGTCACTCAATCCCTGGCCTGCCCTCCGCCTCTGCCTCCCTTTCAGCTGCAGCCGCCACTATCTCTCCCTCCTCCGCCTATGTCAACGCAGCGGCGACTCATCAGCTCGCCGCCTCTCAGTCATTCCCTGGCCTGCCCTCCGCCTCTGCCTCCCTTTCACCTGCAGCCCCCACTATCACTCCCTCCTACGCCTATGTCAACACAGCGGCGACTCATCAGCTCGCCGCCTCTCACTCAAACCCTGGCCTGCCCTCCGCCTCTGCCTCCCTTTCAGCTGCAGCCGCCACTATCTCTCCCTCCTCCGCCTATGTCGACGCAGCGGCGACTCATCAGCTCGCCGCCTCTCAGTCATTCCCTGGCCTGCCCTCCGCCTCTGCCTCCCTTTCAGCTGCAGGCGCCAATATCACTCCCTCCTCCGCCTATGTCAACACAGCGGCGACTCATCAGCTCGCCGCCTCTCACTCAAACCCTGGCCTGCCCTCCGCCTCTGCCTCCCTTTCAGCTGCAGCCGCCACTATCTCTCCCTCCTCCGCCTATGTCGACGCAGCGGCGACTCATCAGCTCGCCGCCTCTCACTCAATCCCTGGCCTGACCTCCGCCTCTGCCTCCCCTTCAGCTGCACCCGCCACTATCACTCCCTCCTCCAGAGATTTCAACGCAGCGGCGGCGACTCATCAGCTTGCTACCCGGATCTCTCCCTCCGCTGCCTATGTGCACGTCTCGGTTCCTGGCCAGTCCAGGCCCGCAGTTGCACCTGGATCGACCTCCCTGACACCTGCTCCCAGTGCACTCTCACCCTCGCCCTCCTATATCAATCCTGGGTTGCACCCAACCAACTCAGGTCAGCCTGGCTCCGGCCTCATCCCACCAGCCTCTGCACCCCCTGCTGCCGCAGTGGCGCCCCCTACTACACAATTGCAGCCGTCTGGACTCCCATGGGCACTCCGTGCGCGCAAACAGAAGTCCGCTCTCCCAGACCCTGGACCATCACATGTGGAGGCCGGGTCGGATGAAGACTCCGACGATGATGACTCCTTGGAGAATCATTATGAGCATGATGGTGAACAGCGGCCTGCTGCAACCAGGGTTTCGCGAGCCGCTTTTGAGGCCGCGCAAGCGCAAATCCGACAACAGGCGCGACGCATAGCTGAGTTGGAGAATCAGCAACCTCAGCAAAAAGGCACTCATACTGGCAGTCACGCCATGGTTATGCGCCAGGCCAATATGCCCAGCCCTTCCCAACAGTTGCCGGTTGCACCCCAGCTTGCTCCTTCAACCACTCGACCTTGCACCCAGCCAAATGCAACACCGACCCTGATTTTCTCACCAGTGGTGTGGCCACGAACGCAGGCCGCTTTTAGCCGTGCTGTGGCAAAGGCACACATCAGACGACAGGCCATCGACTGCTCTGCAATGTCGCCACGGCAACACGGGTGGTACAATAACGTCATCACGGCGTTAGATGCTTTCCCGGATGTGAACGGGGACCTTAAGGTGAGCAGCAACCCTTCGTTTCAGCCTTCGCCATGCTTACAAATGACATTAGCACTGGGTGCCTACAACCCCCACCCCGCAAACTCCTCATGCCACATACATTCACGCCCTCCCTTCCCTCCCCTGTTCTCTTTCCCACTCTGCCATGTTGTGCACAATTTTTGTTGCTCTCCTGCAGGACCACGTGGATGAGGCTCTTGATATCATGTTTTTTGACACCCCAGTCACTGATTTCACAATGTGGCCTAGTACCGAACGCCTAGAGGCGGCCCTGCGCAAGGCCCTAGGCCTCAATGAGCCGGAAGAGCATTTTATAGTGCGTATGGTTCTGAAAGCTGACAAGTACAGGAACGGCTACATTCGTGACATGATTCAAGCGTATCGCAACGACGCATTGACGGATGGGCGCAATTGGGTGTACGACGACTTCGACTTGTACGTGCGACGGCCAAGGCTCGGTGGGAAGAAAGTAGGCACCCTCACGACAGTGCTGTTCTTGGACCAGTACGTTGAAAGTGAGTATGCTCTAGTACTCCTATCACACCCCCGCCCCTACCCCACCCCCGTTCCTCCCTCTCCTTCCAAATGAGCCCGTACGTTGAAATTGATTCCAGTGTACCCTCTTTCCCTCCCTGTTTTCCCCTCCCCACCCCAGCAGCAAGCAAGGCCAGCCAAGGCAGAGCCCAACAGTCCCCAGTGTACCCTCTTTCCCTCCCTGTTTTCCCCTCCCCACCCCAGCAGCAAGAAAGGCCAGCCAAGGCAGAGCCCAACAGTCCCCAGTGTACCCTCTTTCCCTCCCTGGTTTCCCCTCCCCACCCCAGCAGCAAGCAAGGCCAGCCAAGGCAGAGCCCAACAGTCCCCAGTGTACCCTCTTTCCCTCCCTGGTTTCCCCTCCCCACCCCAGCAGCAAGCAAGGCCAGCCAAGGCAGAGCCCAACAGTCCCCAGTGTACCCTCTTTCCCTCCCTGGTTTCCCCTCCCCACCCCAGCAGCAAGCAAGGCCAGCCAAGGCAGAGCCCAACAGTCCCCAGTGTACCCTCTTTCCCTCCCTGGTTTCCCCTCCCCACCCCAGCAGCAAGCAAGGCCAGCCAAGGCAGAGCCCAACAGTCCCCAGTGTACCCTCTTTCCCTCCCTGTTTTCCCCTCCCCACCCCAGCAGCAAGCAATGCCAGCCAAGGCAGAGCCCAACAGTCCCCAGTGTACCCTCTTTCCCTCCCTGGTTTCCCCTCCCCACCCCAGCAGCAAGCAAGGCCAGCCAAGGCAGAGCCCAACAGTTCCCAGTGTACCCTCTTTCCCTCCCTGGTTTCCCCTCCCCACCCCAGCAGCAAGCAAGGCCAGCCAAGGCAGAGCCCAACAGTCCCCAGTGTACCCTCTTTCCCTCCCTGGTTTCCCCTCCCCACCCCAGCAGCAAGCAAGGCCAGCCAAGGCAGAGCCCAACAGTCCCCAGTGTACCCTCTTTCCCTCCCTCTTTTCCCCTCCCCACCCAAGCAGCAAGAAAGGCCAGCCAAGGCAGAGCCCAACAGTCCCCAGTGTACCCTCTTTCCCTCCCTGGTTTCCCCTCCCCACCCCAGCAGCAAGCAAGGCCAGCCAAGGCAGAGCCCAACAGTCCCCAGTGTACCCTCTTTCCCTCCCTGTTTTCCCCTCCCCACCCCAGCAGCAAGCAAGGCCAGCCAAGGCAGAGCCCAACAGTCCCCAGTGTACCCTCTTTCCCTCCCTGGTTTCCCCTCCCCACCCCAGCAGCAAGCAAGGCCAGCCAAGGCAGAGCCCAACAGTCCCCAGTGTACCCTCTTTCCCTCCCTGGTTTCCCCTCCCCACCCCAGCAGCAAGCAAGGCCAGCCAAGGCAGAGCCCAACAGTCCCCAGTGTACCCTCTTTCCCTCCCTGGTTTCCCCTCCCCACCCCAGCAGCAAGCAAGGCCAGCCAAGGCAGAGCCCAACAGTCCCCAGTGTACCCTCTTTCCCTCCTTTCTTTCCCCTCCCCACCCCAGCAGCAAGCAAGGCCAGCCAAGGCAGAGCCCAACAGTCCCCAGTGTACCCTCTTTCCCTCCCTGTTTTCCCCTCCCCACCCCAGCAGCAAGCAAGGCCAGCCAAGGCAGAGCCCAACAGTCCCCAGTGTACCCTCTTTCCCTCCCTGGTTTCCCCTCCCCACCCCAGCAGCAAGCAAGGCCAGCCAAGGCAGAGCCCAACAGTCCCCAGTGTACCCTCTTTCCCTCCCTGTTTTCCCCTCCCCACCCCAGCAGCAAGCAAGGCCAGCCAAGGCAGAGCCCAACAGTCCCCAGTGTACCCTCTTTCCCTCCCTGTTTTCCCCTCCCCACCCCAGCAGCAAGCAAGGCCAGCCAAGGCAGAGCCCAACAGTCCCCAGTGTACCCTCTTTCCCTCCCTGGTTTCCCCTCCCCACCCCAGCAGCAAGCAAGGCCAGCCAAGGCAGAGCCCAACAGTCCCCAGTGTACCCTCTTTCCCTCCCTGGTTTCCCCTCCCCACCCCAGCAGCAAGCAAGGCCAGCCAAGGCAGAGCCCAACAGTCCCCAGTGTACCCTCTTTCCCTCCCTCTTTTCCCCTCCCCACCCAAGCAGCAAGAAAGGCCAGCCAAGGCAGAGCCCAACAGTCCCCAGTGTACCCTCTTTCCCTCCCTGGTTTCCCCTCCCCACCCCAGCAGCAAGCAAGGCCAGCCAAGGCAGAGCCCAACAGTCCCCAGTGTACCCTCTTTCCCTCCCTCTTTTCCCCTCCCCACCCCAGCAGCAAGAAAGGCCAGCCAAGGCAGAGCCCAACAGTCCCCAGTGTACCCTCTTTCCCTCCCTGTTTTCCCCTCCCCACCCCAGCAGCAAGCAATGCCAGCCAAGGCAGAGCCCAACAGTCCCCAGTGTACCCTCTTTCCCTCCCTCTTTTCCCCTCCCCACCCCAGCAGCAAGCAAGGCCAGCCAAGGCAGAGCCCAACAGTCCCCAGTGTACCCTCTTTCCCTCCCTGGTTTCCCCTCCCCACCCCAGCAGCAAGCAAGGCCAGCCAAGGCAGAGCCCAACAGTTCCCAGTGTACCCTCTTTCCCTCCCTGGTTTCCCCTCCCCACCCCAGCAGCAAGCAAGGCCAGCCAAGGCAGAGCCCAACAGTCCCCAGTGTACCCTCTTTCCCTCCCTGGTTTCCCCTCCCCACCCCAGCAGCAAGCAAGGCCAGCCAAGGCAGAGCCCAACAGTCCCCAGTGTACCCTCTTTCCCTCCCTCTTTTCCCCTCCCCACCCAAGCAGCAAGAAAGGCCAGCCAAGGCAGAGCCCAACAGTCCCCAGTGTACCCTCTTTCCCTCCCTGGTTTCCCCTCCCCACCCCAGCAGCAAGCAAGGCCAGCCAAGGCAGAGCCCAACAGTCCCCAGTGTACCCTCTTTCCCTCCCTGTTTTCCCCTCCCCACCCCAGCAGCAAGCAAGGCCAGCCAAGGCAGAGCCCAACAGTCCCCAGTGTACCCTCTTTCCCTCCCTGGTTTCCCCTCCCCACCCCAGCAGCAAGCAAGGCCAGCCAAGGCAGAGCCCAACAGTCCCCAGTGTACCCTCTTTCCCTCCCTGGTTTCCCCTCCCCACCCCAGCAGCAAGCAAGGCCAGCCAAGGCAGAGCCCAACAGTCCCCAGTGTACCCTCTTTCCCTCCCTGGTTTCCCCTCCCCACCCCAGCAGCAAGCAAGGCCAGCCAAGGCAGAGCCCAACAGTCCCCAGTGTACCCTCTTTCCCTCCTTTCTTTCCCCTCCCCACCCCAGCAGCAAGCAAGGCCAGCCAAGGCAGAGCCCAACAGTCCCCAGTGTACCCTCTTTCCCTCCCTGTTTTCCCCTCCCCACCCCAGCAGCAAGCAAGGCCAGCCAAGGCAGAGCCCAACAGTCCCCAGTGTACCCTCTTTCCCTCCCTGGTTTCCCCTCCCCACCCCAGCAGCAAGCAAGGCCAGCCAAGGCAGAGCCCAACAGTCCCCAGTGTACCCTCTTTCCCTCCCTGTTTTCCCCTCCCCACCCCAGCAGCAAGCAAGGCCAGCCAAGGCAGAGCCCAACAGTCCCCAGTGTACCCTCTTTCCCTCCCTGTTTTCCCCTCCCCACCCCAGCAGCAAGCAAGGCCAGCCAAGGCAGAGCCCAACAGTCCCCAGTGTACCCTCTTTCCCTCCCTGGTTTCCCCTCCCCACCCCAGCAGCAAGCAAGGCCAGCCAAGGCAGAGCCCAACAGTCCCCAGTGTACCCTCTTTCCCTCCCTGGTTTCCCCTCCCCACCCCAGCAGCAAGCAAGGCCAGCCAAGGCAGAGCCCAACAGTCCCCAGTGTACCCTCTTTCCCTCCCTCTTTTCCCCTCCCCACCCAAGCAGCAAGAAAGGCCAGCCAAGGCAGAGCCCAACAGTCCCCAGTGTACCCTCTTTCCCTCCCTGGTTTCCCCTCCCCACCCCAGCAGCAAGCAAGGCCAGCCAAGGCAGAGCCCAACAGTCCCCAGTGTACCCTCTTTCCCTCCCTCTTTTCCCCTCCCCACCCCAGCAGCAAGAAAGGCCAGCCAAGGCAGAGCCCAACAGTCCCCAGTGTACCCTCTTTCCCTCCCTGTTTTCCCCTCCCCACCCCAGCAGCAAGCAATGCCAGCCAAGGCAGAGCCCAACAGTCCCCAGTGTACCCTCTTTCCCTCCCTGTTTTCCCCTCCCCACCCCAGCAGCAAGAAAGGCCAGCCAAGGCAGAGCCCAACAGTCCCCAGTGTACCCTCTTTCCCTCCCTGGTTTCCCCTCCCCACCCCAGCAGCAAGCAAGGCCAGCCAAGGCAGAGCCCAACAGTCCCCAGTGTACCCTCTTTCCCTCCCTGGTTTCCCCTCCCCACCCCAGCAGCAAGCAAGGCCAGCCAAGGCAGAGCCCAACAGTCCCCAGTGTACCCTCTTTCCCTCCCTGTTTTCCCCTCCCCACCCCAGCAGCAAGCAATGCCAGCCAAGGCAGAGCCCAACAGTCCCCAGTGTACCCTCTTTCCCTCCCTCTTTTCCCCTCCCCACCCCAGCAGCAAGCAAGGCCAGCCAAGGCAGAGCCCAACAGTCCCCAGTGTACCCTCTTTCCCTCCCTGATTTCCCCTCCCCACCCCAGCAGCAAGCAAAGCCAGCCAAGGCAGAGCCCAACAGTCCCCAGTGTACCCTCTTTCCCTCCCTGGTTTCCCCTCCCCACCCCAGCAGCAAGCAAAACCAGCCAAGGGAGAGCCCAACAGTCCCCAGTGTACCCTCTTTCCCTCCCTGTTTTCCCCTCCCCACCCCAGCAGCAAGCAAAGTCAGCCAAGGCAGAGCCCAACAGTCCCCAGTGTACCCTCTTTCCCTCCCTGTTTTCCCCTCCCCACCCCAGCAGCAAGCAAGGCCAGGATAGGCCCAGCCTGCCAGTCCTATGTGTACCTTCCTTTTCCATTTTGCCTGACTAATGCTTCACATTCCAACTGTTTCACAAAGTATCGTATCTTTCCCCTACGACACGACAGGCCCTGCATCGTTCAACATGCTTACTTGGCACATGAATGAGCACCGTGTGCCGTTTGCATCACCTTGCTTCATAAATGCAATCAGCGCCTCATTCAAGCGCCCCCAAGGTCGCAGGCTTATTCTCCCGCTGAAGTTACTAGCGTTCTGGCTGAATGGGGTGAGTGCAGTTTGCTGCATCTGCTACATTCTTTTTAAGGATCTTCTCGTGCAGATACTAGTCATGGTATTCCCTACCACCTCAGGTGGAGCACCGCGTCATCCACGGCAGTGATTTGCCGAGAAGCACCAACGAGAACATCCGCGATGTGAACATTTATTACAACAAGATTTGGAACTGGACAAGAGCTGCAATTGGAGGAGCAACAGCCGCAAATGGTCCCTGGTGGCGGCCGGGTGTTGGGGCATGGTCGTTCGCGCGCAGCGATGTTGTTTTTATTAGTGGTGAGGGTCTCGAGGGCCTAGTAGCTAGTGCTTTCACGTATTAGTTTTGGTGTTTTCAAAATGTAGCACTGTTTGCTGTTTCCCTGCTTCTAGTATAACACTAAGTAATAAATGTTCTTTTAATAAATAATTGAATATCAATAACGGATCATTTAAAAAATATAAAACTCATATTTTATATTGATTGATTACGAACCCGAAATGTAGCGAATTCATTAATTTGCAGTTTTATAGCGAGATCAATGAAGCAGCACATCAATTGTATTACCCGCTCGATTAAAGCACTTTAAATTAGTCGTAAATTTAAATTCGCGAGAGTTTGAAATTTATATCGAATTTTACATTCTTTGCTCATCACCACATTTCGAAACTATCGTAGAGGGAGGGAGTTGGGATATCCATTGGCGCTCCAACAATGTTGGAGGGACGAATGGCCAATCCGAACCTCCTCTAATGTTGTTGTTCCTTCCTCAACTGAGGGACGCCCAATCGCACCAACTGCCAAACCTATACGAAATGGTCCTTGGTTGGTCCCTCGAAGTTGGGAATGTACTAAGTGCGCTCTGCTCACAAACAGCTGAAAAAGCATAATGGCCACGAACATCAGCCATACTTTCCAAACCATTACGAGGAAGTAAGATTTCAAGTAACACCAGAGCAGAATTTCCGAACGACATTTTTTCGGATGACGTGGAGACAAAGGGGCTGGAAGCAGCTTCTGTGAGCTCGTGGGCGAACACAGAGACAAGGCCATCCATGCCGGGGTTACCCGTGGGTGCCAGAGACGCGTCGCTGCGGATGTCACTCGGGAGGCAGGATGATGGGCACTGCACAGGCGAGAAAGAATATGAGAAACTGAGTGTTTGGAGAGGTCTGGCAGCAAACCAAGGTGAGTTTGAGTGGTTGAGATTTCTAGCTCGATAGGCTCCACTCACGATCAGGTCTGCCTTGCCGACCCAGGAGTAGATGTAGTCGCCATAATTTTCGGCCCATGCGAAGAAGTGCCACCCACAGAAGCCCGTGCAGAACTTTGGAGACGTGGTCATGTTGTGCCATTTCTGCAGAAGCAGCAGAGAGATAAAGTAACAGGCAATGTGATCCAGCCACACACGACATGTCCTTTGACACAACACCACACCACATGCTGCATCTAACAGTATGGCATCACAGCACACCTGGTCGACAAACTCGTCCGAAAGGAGGAAGTAGACGGCACGAGGGTCGTGGGGCAGTTGTTGGCTGCTGATGGCCAACCCAAGCAGGACTTCTATATCGCTTTTGAGCAGCGTCTTGCCCTTGCTGTACGCCCTGTCCTCCACCTCGCCGCCCCACATCACGGATTGCGATATGTGGTTGCCATCCCTGTCGTAGTAGAGCCGGTTGATGTTCCACCACAATGGAACTGAAACAAACAAGTAGATTATACGTCACTGATATGTTTTTATAAGACATAACACCTTGGTAATTCCTGAGCCGAAGGAGCTCTCCCTGGGACGGCCTACCAGTGACGGCGGTGTCAGCGTTGGGGCTGAGCGATGCGACGAAGGTGCGGAGCGTCTGCTTCTGAGCGTCGGAGAAGACGCCGTACCACAGCACGAACACGCGTATCGGCCGATGCAGCACGCCGCACCTGTTCCCGCACCACGCCGTCCCCCAATGCGGGGAGATCCCGATGGGCTCTGCGGTACCCATGATTGTCGCGCGGCAGCCCGTCATCGCCGCGTCGCCTTGACCTTCCCTGAGGTGGGTGAACGCATACAGCAGGACTGGAGATGATTAAAGCCACGGAAACGGAGCGTGTTCTTTGTTCACATAGAGAGCTTCAGAATCCTGATGTCCCATCGGTGGCGCGGATTCTTGGATTGGCCTGTGCTGTCGCAGCAATCCGGAAGAACGAAATGGACTAGGAGACGCTTGGACGAGCGTTCGAGGAGTCGAGTTACTAGTAATACGACGACTACTACCAGCCTGGACTTTCAAAACCCCGCTGAGGAGAACTGTTAGTAGTATTGAAAGCGTAAACACACTCTGCGAGTGGACTCTCCGCCAGCATGGTTTGACAATTTGACTCATGCCACAGTTCGGACACAAAAAACGGAATTTCAACTTGAAGTTTGATCTTATTGCTACTAGCAGTAGGCCAAGACTTAGCACCACAGCGAGTTGACAAGGTTCGTCGTACGGATAAATACACGAAATCGCTCATTTCCGTAACTTAGAGGCACGCAGTGGATTGGTAGTACAATCTGCTAGTAGCAGACGAGTTGCACGTGAATTTAGAAAATGAAGCCATGGAGTGACAACGAGGTGGATTGGGTCCAGGCGACACACCAAGATGAGAGTGCATGCTGATTGCTGCACGTTGTATCATGTGTGAATATACCATTTGTACTGAACAAGCATGATGCGGCCTGTGCTAGGTTCTCTCTGATTATGGGATGGGATGGGGGAACTAAGGGGGGGGCGTACTTTTTCTTTGTGGTCTCATACAGCGCGGTTGATTACGTTCAAATACGTTTGGGCACGGTGGCACATGTTTCGCCACATTAGGGCGTGTAACTATTTTGCACTCGACGGAACGAACCGTGGACCGTACGTCGATGCGAAGGGTAACCATTATCGTTTGATGTCGTGCAGTTTTTTGCGAGGATGCGTGCGACGTCGCTACAAATTCGAACCGTCCTGTCACTTTTTCCTCTTTCCAACGACACGAAACTCTGACAACGGACGGTCCAAATCACAAACGGACTGTCCGCCTGTCCGCGCACGCGATTGGCGGGCGAATTTGGATTTCAGCAGACCGCCTCGCCAAAAAATGGGAAAATGCGACTCGGATGCAAAAAGGGACATTGACCAATCACAACTAGCCTCACTTCAATACAAGAAGCCACGAGAATTACCCACGAAGGGCTTGGTGTGGAAGGCCTTTGTGGTTGTTTGAAAATTTCCTATGTTTGTCCGAAGCGCTGAAATCCACCAGCGAAAATAGCGATGGGTTGTGACTGGCGTTACTGGTGTACATTTGACATGGCGAAGGGAAAACCATCGCGGAACCCTAGCATGTGGAAAAAGTGACACATCTGCATTCGTACCGTCCGAAGTTGCAAACATTCAAATCGGACAGTCCGTTTCGGTATAAACGTAACGTCCGATTCCATATAATCGGACGGTACGTCAAATTCACAAAATGCAAAAAAGTTACACGCCCTTAGTACATTCCATCCCTCAGATAACCCTGAAGAAAAAGTATGACCCGCCCTCACCTCATCAGGTCTGGATTGGTGTAAATCGTGTTGGTTGGTGGTGGTGAGGATTCGTTCAGGCATGCATCGTGCGCTGAGTGGCTTCATCTTTGCGTGGCCTTTCCTGTTTGCCTTCCACGCTGCCAAAATGTTGACATGTCAACGCTTGCTGTGTTCGGATCGGGTGACAGAACAGTGTACTGTAAATAGGAAACGGATGCGACTCGGGAAGGCATCCACTGCATAGAGAAACTGGTGGGTGGGTTCCCGTCAAAGGCTTCGCAGTGTTCGCGGCGACAAACGACCAATTTACGACCTCGTCCTGCAACAGAGTTCTTGTAGCGACAGTCAGTTGTGTTGTGGTTACTCGCAGATCACATTGGATGGGTCACGTGATCGCATGAACTTTGGCAAGCGACGAGCCTTTTGTTGGTCAACGCAACTGTTCAGCATGGGGAGCGTCAGATGGGTGCGCGGATTCATGGGGCATGAAAGGCGCAACTGTTATCGCAGAAATTTGTTACAGCATTTTCCGTTCGACAACGTGGTCAACGAAGTTGGCAGGCATGGCTGGTTGCTTCGCAGAAGATATTCTGGTTTTTAGCAGCGTTACATTCTCCAGATAAAAGAAGGCTCATTCCTTCATTCGTGTAAGGAATTTTCCCGAATTCCTTATCGGGGTTGACTGCTTCGCGTACAGCACCGATTTTCGGACTTTGCACGTTCGGCCGATTTCAACGCTGCCGAGGCTCCTCGCGTCGCCTTCGGCATTTCCCATCGCCAAACCTGCACCCAACCTCGCTCGTCCGAGGTTCCCTCCTTGCTAGGCTAGCTCCTACATTAGTCTGTGCCTTCATTATATTCTCAGTTCATTCAATCACAGTCATGTTATTCGTTTACCTGCGCACTCTCTTTTACAACTCATAACACCTGGTACCAGAGCTACTTTCCTAGTTCACCTCGCTTTTCCGATGGTAGTTTGGTGGCACGGGTGTGGCTGATTTAGTGACTGTACGACGGTTAGCTGCAGGGATTGTTAATTTGATCCTGCCCGACTCCGATAGTCCGTGTTTTCACTTGCCTGAAGGCCACGGAGACCCGATTGCCCACCAGACATAGCGCTAGGCAGATGGATCATGGGGCGGTTAACAAGCCGATGGCGCAAGTGGCAGAAATGCAAGAGGGCATGAAGTCGTTAATGGCGGAAGTAACAGCACTGCGTGAAGAAAACGCCGAGCTACGCCAGACGCGAGGTGAAGCGCGTTAGGGGTCGCCCGATGACGAAGGCGAGGGCAACTTCCCGGGAGGGAACCCGCTTTCGTGGCCAGACACATCGGGCCACTATCAACGCCGTCCATGCACCCGACTGCCCTCCTAAGGGACCGTGTTATCGGTGTGGGAAAACGGGTCACTACATGAAAGACTACCATGAGAAATCACCGCTGACGGGCAACGACAGGAAGGAGCAGGGAAATGGGAAGAGTCAGCAATTAGCGGGCCCTTTACTGACTGTGCTCCATCGCCCGAACCCCACCATCCCCACCGAGTCGTGGTTCCGATTCATGCAATCGATCGAACTCGGCCGAATAACGAGGATAATAATGTGGATCACCCTGTGCTAGTCGCCGGCAAGGTGTTAAAAAATAACTTGAAAATATTCGTCGATGGAGGGGCCAGCCATAGCCTCTTCAACTTGGCGACACCAAAAAAATGCAAGCTGCAACTTGACAGGTGTCTGCCCGAAATCGACGCTTGCCTCATGGATGGGACGCCTCTAGCGATAACGGAAGAAACACGGACGGTCAGGATCGACTGCGGCGACGATTTTGGCTTCAGCATGAAGTTCCTCGCGACGACACTGGATGGCTGCGACATGCTGCTAGGACGCGATTGGCTGCGACGGCACAACCCCGTCATCGACCGAACAACGGGATCGTGCAGCATCAACAAGCACGAGGGGCATATCAAATTGCCTGCATGGACACCTGACCCCATCCAAGCCCCGTGCGTCAAAGCTATCACTATAGCTCGCCCCTTCATTAGGGGCACGCAGCTGTTCGCTGTTTGCTTACGCGAGTTGGCAGTGGACATCGACAGAAAGGAGATCGAGAAGCAGTGTGCATGTCAGAACATTATAGCTTATACATTTGTGTAGGCTATAGTGGGGTAGCCCATAAGGGATACAACCCAATTAGGGTTAGTACTTGTACCCAACTGTTTCATAGTTCATTCATCCATTCTCACTCCTCGTCATGGTATCGAGCAGGTTCCCGAGTGGGAATACTGCCTAGGGCCCACCACAAACTTTTTTTTTTCCTTCCCTGCCCGGAGCGCGCTTCGCTCCTAACCCGAGTAGCGCCTCTAGCCGCCTTAGTGGCCCCCGTTGGCCGCCCTTACGGCCCCTCGCGCCGCCTTCTATGGCCCCGTCTGGCCCCTTACGACCCCGTCGCGGCCCCGCTCAGGCCCCTTACGGCCCCGTCGCGGCCCCGCTTAGGCCCCTTACGGCCTCGTCGCGGCCCCACTTAGGCCCCTCCGCGGCCCCGTCGTGCCCCTTACGGCCTCGCCTAGGCGCCTTATGGCCCCTCCGCGGCCCCGCTTAGGCCCCGTCTGGCCTCGTACGGCCCCTTCCGGTCTCTTCGCGGCCCCGCCTAGGCCCCTTCGCGGCCCCGTCTGGCCCCTTACGGCCCCTTTGCGGCCCCGCCTAGGCCCCTCCGCGGCCCTTCCCAGGCCCCTCAACGGCCCCGCTACGGCCCCGCTACGGCCCCTTTACGGCCCCGCTACGGCCCCATTACGGCCCCTCAACGGCCCCTTTACGGCCCCGCTACAGCCCCTTTGAGGCCCCTTTGCGGCCCCGTCTCCACCTGGGGCCCCGTCGCCCACTGTGGCCCCGTCGCCACCTGCGGCACCGCCCACCCTTGCGGCCCGCCGCCACCTAAGGCCCCGCCGCCACCTGCGGCCTCGCCGCCACATGCGGCCCCGCCGCCCAGCGCCCGCAGCGCCGAGCAGCCGAACCGCCGGCCAGCTGAGCCGCCCGACCGCCCGACCGCCGAGCCGCCCAACAACCGAGCCGCCCGACTGCCGAGCCGCCCAGCAACCGCGCCGCCCAGCAGCCGAGCCGCCCAGCAGCCGAGCCGCCCGACAGCCGAGTCGCCCAGCACCGTGCAGCCGAGCCGCCCGACCGCCGAGCAGCCGAGCAGCCCGATCGCCCCACCTGCCTGGTAAGAGCATAGTCTCTGCCACTGCACTGCCCTGCCCCACTGTACTCACTGCCTGCCTACTGTTGTTATGGCCTCCCCTAGCGTTCTCACCTTTGACACTGAGGGTCGGGCAGTGGACTTTGAGGTCTGGGTAGATGATCTGCAACTTTTTTTGCAGTGCGATAGGGCAGACGGCCTCTCACTGTTTGACCTCACTTCTGGTGCCTCCCCTGCCCCTGCTGCTGATGGTGACGCCACTGTTCGCTCACAGTGGGCCACACGTGATGCTGCTGCTCGCTTTGCTGTGCGCCGCCACTTACCGACCACTGAGCGTGCACACTTTAGCCAGTACAAGAGTGCTCAGACCTTGTACGACGCTGTAGTTGCACGCTACTCCTCCCTTGCCACTGCTGCACTTAGCCGCCTCATGCTACCGTACCTCTTCCCTGACCTTGGTGCCTTTCCCACTGTCGCTGACCTCATTACGCACCTCCGCACTAGTGACACTCGCTACCGCGCTGCGCTTCCTGCTGATTTCTGCGCCAAGACCCCCCCCCCCCCCCCCCCCCCCCATGTACATCACCCTCTACTACATAGTCACCCGGCTCCCTGACTCTCTTCGGGTAGTCAGGGACCACTTCCTCTCTGTTTGCCCCACCACTCTCACCGTTGACCTCCTCTAGAAGGCCCTCCTAGTGATAGAAAAGAGCATAGTCGCTGTAGGGGCCTCTCGTGGTGACCCTCGCACCCCTGTCTTTGAGGGGATTTCTCCCTCCCCCCTCTTGCCCTCTGTTGCCTCTGCTGCTGCGGCCGACCTCGTTGGTTTCGAGTCGGTCGGCACTGCGTCTGCCCCGAGCGGGAGACGCCGCACCGGCAAGGGCAAGGGGGGCAAGGGCACTGGAGGATCTGGAGGGGGCGGTGGAGGTGGTGGTGGAGGCGGTGGAGGGAGTGGGGGTGGTGGTGGGAGTGGTGCCGGGGGTGGCGGCGGTGGCGGCAGCAGTGGAGGCGGCGGAGGCGGTGGAGGTGGCGGAGGAAGCAGAGGAGGCGGAGGTAGTGGAGGAGGCGGAGGCGGCGGAGGCGGCGGAGGTGGAGCGAGTCGCGACTCTGCTTAGAGGAGTGGCGCTGGTGGTGGTCAGCGCCAGCAGCAGCAGCGGAGTGGTGTCACCCTGTCCCCTCAGCAGCTTCGTGAGTGGTACACTCCGCGTCAGCGCGGTGGGGGTTTTGGTCCCTGCTCTTACGTCCTCCGTACCGGCGACCGCGCTGGTGAGCATTGCGGAGGCCCGCATTCCACCCAGCGCTGCTTTGGTCGCCTGACGGACGCGTGGCGTTGCCAGTTCCTTGAGGCGTCAGAGATCCCTCGCTGGGGAGATCTGGCTAAGGCCGGGGTTGCTATCTTTGATCTTGACTTTGATGCTATCCTTGCTGCGATGTATGCTGTTGATACTAGTGTTGCTGGTGACTGTTACCTGTGTGTACCGCCTGACCCGGGCATTGAGGCTGCTGCACTAGGTGCTGGTGAGGCTGCTGCTCTAGGTACTAGTGCGTCTGCTGCCCCAGGTGCCAGTGCATCTGCCGCCCCAGGTGCTGGTGAGTCTGCTCTCTCAGGTACTACGTCGGTTCAGGCCTTCCACACCTTCACCCTGGACTCGGGTGCGTCCCGCTCCTTCTTTCGAAACCGCACCACTCTTACGCCGCTCAGTCGGCCGGTTGCAGTCTCCCTGGCAGACCCCTCTGGGGGTCCTGTCCTTGCTAGCTTCTCCACTGTCCTTCCGTGCCCTGCAGCCCCCTCTGGCACCCTGTCTGGTCTCTACCTCCCCTCGTTTTCTACAAACTTGGTGAGTGGAGCGGACCTACAGGATCGAACGGTTGACTAGTTCACTCCTGCGAGTCAGCGAGTGACCCACTGCACGTGTGCTCGGACAGGCCGACACTTGGCCACGTTCACCCATCGGCTAGGGTCGAGCCTGTACACCCTTACTATTGAGTCTCCTCCTACTGCTGAGTCTGCCCAGGTAGCTGCGTCGAGTCAGGTGTTTGCTGTGGCGTCCAGGTCTGGTCCTGAGTCTGCCCCCTGCTCGTGTCGTCTGCTGTCCCACCAGACTCTTCTTTGGCACCACCGCATTGGTCACCCCTCCTTGCCTCGTCTCCGAGGCATGGCCTCCCGTGTCCTTGTCTCTGGTCTCCCTCGGTCTCTCCCTCCCCTTCCTCCGGGGCCTGGCCCTACCTGCGTCCCCTGCGTCGAGGGGCGACAGCGCGCCGCCCCTCACTCCTCCAAGTTTCCTCCGACAGAGGCTCCGCTGCAGACTCTCCACATGGACGTGTGGGGCCCAGCCCGCGTCAGTGGGCAGGGGCGAGAGCGGTTCTTTATGCTGGTGGTTGACGACTACTCGCGTTACACCACAGTCTTCCCCTTGCGAAGCAAGGGTGATGTCACTGAGGTGTTGATCGGCTAAGCGCAGAACTGATGCTTACTAGAAATCGGCGTCGAATTGGTCGCCCCCGGCGGTTTTTCGAGGCGATTTTTTCCGCGACCGCTGCTTAGCCGAGAGTCGTCGAGTGAGAACGGCTCTGATTACCAAGTGTCGCAGGATCGAATTCTCAATCAAAACTTGTCCCTAAAACTGAATACAAGGCATTTTTGTACTCGGAAAATACAAGGATAAACGAGATAAAACGAACCTTCGGGAACACGCCCTTCCCGATACTACTATCACAAGTGCGCACAAGCACGCAAGGCTATTGGCACTTGGGATTACGCCCAAATTACGCCGTATACACCACTGTCGGCGCTGTCGGTGCCGTATAATAGGTATGTCGGTGGGAAAAGTAGGAAATAAGAGAAATAAATAGAAGGCTCTAGAAAATAGAATAGTAGGCCGATTGAGATGAGATAAAGACCAAAATAAAGAGGACAAAAGTGAGAATAGGATAACGGAAAAATACAATAGTGAGAAAATGTTATAACGGGGACGTCCTCTCACAGACAGGCCGACGCTTGGCCACGTTCACCCGTCGGCCAGGGTCGAGCCTGTACACCCTTACTACAGAGTCTCCTCCGGCTGCTGAGTCTGCCCAGGTAGCTGCGTCGAGTCAGGTGTTTGCTGCAGCGTCCAAGTCCGGTCTTGAGTCTTCTCCCTGCTCGTGTCGTCTGCTGTCCCACTAGACTCTCCTTTGGCACCACCGCCTTGGTCACCCCTCCCTGCCTCGTCTCTGAGGCATAGCCTCCCGTGTCCTGGTCTCTGGTCTCCCTCGGTCTCTCCCTTCCCTACCTCCAGGGCCTCGCCCTACCTCCGTCCCCTGCGTCGAGGGGCGACAGCGCGCCGCCCCTCACTCCTCCGAGTTTCCTCCGACAGAGGCTCCGCTGCAGAGTCTCTACATGGACGTGTGGGGCCCAACCCGCGTCAGTGGGCAGGGGCACGAGCGGTACTTCCTGCTGGTGGTTGACGACTACTCGCGTTACACCACACTCTTCCTGTTGCGCAGCAAGGGTGACGTCACTGAGGTGTTGATCGACTGGATCCGCGCAGCTCGTCTCCAACTCAGAGAGAGTTTCGGCTCGGACTTTCCTGTTCTGCGTCTGCACTCGGACAGAGGCGGAGAGTTTTCCTCTGTCCGTCTGGGAGCCTTCTTTCGTGCACAGGGCATCCGCCAGACCTTCACGCTTCCGATCTCTCCACAGGAAAAAGGGATTGCTGAGCGCCGCATTGGCATGGTCATGGACATCGCTCGTACGTCCATGATGCATGCGGCTGCCCCCCATTTTCTGTGGCCGTTTGCAGTTTAGTACGCCGCGCATCAGCTCAACCCTCAGCCCCGGGTCTCCTTACCAGAGACCTCCCCCGCCTTGCGGTGGACGGGGAAGGTTGGCGATGCGTCTGCGTTTCGGGTCTGGGGATCTCGGGCGTTTGTCCGCGACTTGTCTGCGGACAAGCTGTCCCCCCGTGCTGTTCCCTGCGTCTTCCTTGGCTTCCCCCCTGATGCGCCTGGTTGGCAGTTTTACCACCCCACCTCGCGCCGTCTTCTGTCCTCCAAGGACGTCATGTTTGACGAGTCGGTTCCTTTCTACCTTCTCTTCCCCTACCGCACTGCCCCCCTCCCCCCCCCTGCCGCTCTTCCTTGCCCCAGGTGCTACCCAGGTAGACCCCCTCCAACCTCAGGGTCCTGCCCCGTCAGGTGTGTCCCAGGTAGACGCAGTCGAGCCTGTCGAGGTAGCTGTTGACTCTGGTGCTGCTAGAGGTGCTGAGCCTGCGGGTGCCAGGTTTGGGGGTCCTGAGATTGGGGGTGCTGAGCCTGGGGGTGCTGAGACTGGGGGTGCTGAGCTTGGGGGTGCTGAGTCTGAGGGTGCTACGCCTGGAGGTGCTGAGCGTGAGGGTGCTGAGCCTGGGGGTGCTGGGTCTGCTCGTGTGGCCGCCGGCGGTGCTTTGTCGAGGCGGGAGCCACTCTCTCCACACGAGCTGCGCGAGTGGTTCGCCCGCCGCTGGAGACGTGCTGCTGAGTCTGGGGGTGCTGCTGGAGTTACTGGAGTTGGTCCTGCTGGAGCTACTGTCGGTGCTGGTGCTGCTGGAGGTGGAGCTGCTTGGGGTGTTGGCGCTGGTGTTTCTACTGGTGCTGGTGCGTCTGGGGGTGCTGCTGAGGCTGCTGGTGCTGATGGTCCTACTGGAGTTGGTGCTGCTGGAGCTGGAGCTGCTGGCGGTGCTGCTGGCGCTGGTGCTCCTGAGGGTGCTGGAGTTGGCGTTGTTGGAGCTGGGGGTGCTGTTGGCGCTGGTGCTGCCGCTGGGGGTACTGGTGCCATCCTTGCTGGTTCAGGAGGCGCTGCGCGGTCGAGGCCGTACTTCGTTCCGACTCCCTTCGTGCTACTAGTCCTTCGGTCACGCGCCTTCTTGCTACTGTCGTCACTGACCCTTCCTTTGAGTCCACTGTTGCGTCTGCTCTAGTTGCTGAGCTTGTCGACTTCGCTGCTCGCTGTCGTCTGGACCACGCTGCCAAACTAGTTGCTGAGTCTGAGTCTGTCTGTCCTCCGTCCGTCGGGGGTGAGTGTGCTCTTAGCACGGACGTCCTTGAGGACAGGCAGGAGGAGTTCCAGTGCTTTGCGGCTGCTTTGCCCCATCTCGTGTCCACCCTGATTGTCCCTGAGGGAGACCCGGATGCACCAGACATCCCGACTCCTCGATCGTACGCTGAGGCAATCGAGGGTCCCTACTCCTCTCAGTGGCAGTCAGTCATGGACGCAGAGATGGCTTCCTGAAAGTCCACAGGCACCTACGTCGACGAGGTTCCCCCACCTGTGGCGAACATCGTCAGTGGCATGTGGATTTTCAGGGTGAAGCGGCCGCCAGGCTCTCCGCCTGTCTTCAAGGCGCGTTACGTGGCTCGAGGCTTCACTCAGGGGCAGGGAGTTGACTACTTTCAGACCTTCTCTCCCACCCCGAAGATGACCACTCTTCGGGTGCTGCTGCACATAGCCGCTCAGCGCGACTACGAGCTTCACTCTCTTGACTTCAGCACAGCTTTCCTGCAGGGCAGCGTGCACGAGGAGATCTGGCTGCGCCGCCCTCCTAGCTTCACTGGGTCGTTCCCTCCTAGTACCCAGTGGAGCCTCTGGCGGCCAGTCTATGGTCTCCGCCAGGCGCCCCGTGAGTGGCACGACACACTGAGGAGTGCGCTAGGCGCAAACATGCCGGCCTCGATGCAATTTTTCAACGTTACGCGCGAGGGGTGACCAGGGCGCTGGTGCCAGAAATCGTCGTTTGCGCAGAGCCCAGAGGTGTGCATGTAGCATGCGCGCACTGCTTCGGGGTCCTTGTCAGGTAATGAGGTAGGTTTTGCTGCTGCTTTTCAGCTTCTTCTTTGTTGTTCGTTGTCGTCAGCATCAGCGCCAAAAAATATCTTTCGAGAATCATGGAGAAGGGGATGTTGGAACCGGGGATTGTTCCAGGGACGAAGGTAGGGTCGCGCAGCTCAGGATCGGGTCCAAAAACTGTGCGACGTGGGGTCGATGGTTCGTTGCCCCAATCGGTGGTATCCCAGGATCGTGGTGCGGCTGAACATCAGGGGGAGGTAGCGCGGGTGCAGGGAGGTGCGGGGGACGACCAAGGGGAACAACAAGATGTTC